GGGAGCAATATGACCAGATTCAACTTTCTAAAAGAACCCTCTACACAAATATATTGACAATCGATTGCTGTCAAAATTTCAAAGGTGACTAAGTGGAGAAAGGATAGTCTTTTCAACAAATGGTACTAAAACAATAGGACATCTATACACAAAATTGGATGTCTATATACAAAAATTCACTCAAAATAGATCATAGGTCTAAATGTAAAACTGAAAACTATACAACTTCTGTAAGAAAATGCAGGTGGGAATCTTTGCGATCTTGGGTTGGAAAATAATTTCTTACATATGACCCTAAAAACAAGTGTACAAACTGAAAAATTGGACTTCATCAGAATTAAAAATGTTTTCTCTTCCAAAGACAACGGAAACAAACTAAAGACAGAGAAAATTGTTAAATCATATTTTTGATAAAGTACTCATGTCTAGAATATAGAAAACCTCCATAATAAAATACAAACAGACCAATTTAAAAAAAAAGCAAAAAAAAAAAAAAAAGAAATCCTAGCAGAATCTTCTTCAAAGAAAGTATACAAATGGAAAATAAGCACATGAAAACATGCTCTACATCATTACTCACTGGAGAAATGCAAATTAAATGGGAAAAACTTACACCTTTAATTAGAATGCTAAACTTAAAAAGATTGACTATATCAAGTGTTGGTGAGGATGGTGAAGGAACCGGAATTCTTATATGCTGGTGGAAATGTAAAATGGTACAACCACTTAGAAAGACGGTTTGGCAGTTTCTCACAAAAGGTAAACATATACTTAGCCTGTGACCCACCCATGCCACTACTAATTACACAAGAGAAATTAAAGCATAATTCTATACAGAAACATTTGTATGAATGTTCATGGCAACTTTATTTGTAATAGCCCCACACTGGAAAGAACCCAAATGTTTATCAATAAGTAAATTGATAAACAAACGGTGGTACAGCAATGCAATAGAATACTGCTTAGCAATAAGGAAGAATGAACTAGTGATACACATAACAGCTTAGATGGATATCAAGGGCATTATGCACAGTGAAAGATGCAAGACCAAGAAAATGAGTGTACACTATATGATTCATTAATATAAAATTCTGGAAAATGAAAGCCAATCTATACTGACAGAAAGCAGATCATTGGTATCTAGAGGGGGAGTGTGGGAGAGGTAGAGAAAAGTACTAAGTGGCACAAAAGAAACTTTCAGGATGATGGCTTCATGAGTATATGTACATGTCAATAATTATTTGTGCCACTTTAAATATATGCAGTTAATAAACTGTATGCCAATTATACTTTATAAGGCTCTTTTAATAATTCTTCTGGCTGCACAATGCAGAACTGACTCTAGGAAAGTAAGAGCAGGAAGGAGATCAGGTGAGAAAGGATGGTGCCTTGAACTAGGTTGCTAGGTTGGCAGCAGTGGAGATGAAGAGAAGTGGGCAGACTTGTGAGACATTTAAGGAATAAAATCCAAAGGACCTGACACCATTTTCCAAAGATCAGTTCATCCTGGCTTTCCAGGGAGAGGAGCTAGGGAAGATTCCATTAACAAAGCCCCCTTGAAGTTGCAGAGGAAGCCCATGGCAGAAACATCACTGGTTCTATTGACGGATAAAAATTGCAAAGAAGAAGAAGAGGAGGGGATAAATGAAGAAGAAGAAAGCTGGTAAAAACACTGAATTTATATAATATTCTTCAACAGTTGTCTCTTAATTTTCTTAAAAAGAAATGGGAGGAAAATAAGATTTGAGATGAGGAATCAGAGTTTAAACTTCGAATAAAGTATATGCTCCTACTATGCTTGCAGTAGTTAACATTTCCTGATAATGATCTAATTGTTGATAGCATTATCTTTAAAAATAAAAAATAACAAAGTGATTCTTCAGATTTGTAGAATACTTTATTTACAAATTTGTTCTATACACATGATTCATTTTAATTGCTATATCACCATTCTGAGGGTATTATTGGCCACAATATTCTGATGAGGAAACTGTGAAAACAACTCTGTTTCTGTGGAAGCAACATGAACTTTGGAATCCTTCTGACCTGGATTTGAATGCCTATCAGGCTGTCATCTATTTAAAGGTTAACTTCAGAGCATTAATTCTCACCTAATTTCTTTCAGGTCTCTTTGCTTCTAACTGCCTTCCCCACTCTTAGCCATTGTTCATTCACTGTTACTTGTACCCCCTTCATTGTCAGACTGTAGGCACATAGTTCTGGCTCTGAGACCTATGTTCTTTCCATTCTACCATCCTGCCATTAAACTCAATTTCCTTTGAGCAATGCTAGTTAAAGTTTTGGTGGATTGGAGGTTGTAATGACTATTCAAATAAGGTTTTTAAAGTATTTAAGTATTTTGATTGCATATTCCTGTTTCCCATTACCTTAGGTTATTGAGAATTAGCCATGCTACAGTTTGACATCTCTATGAATAAGACTGCTTCTTGACTGTAAGGAGTGTTTTGTGAGATTCCTCATCAACAAAGGGGGTATGCTTGGGTTATGTCCAAGTAGGGATGCAGCCATTAAAAATCTCAGGGAATGTTTTCACCTCCTCAGGTGAAAGGGTCCTCAGGCCTTTTTGTTTTAGAAGGTTCATTTATAGTCATTTCTCAAGTTCCCATGAGATTGATGAGTCTTGCTAAAATAGCAGTGGGATGGAAGACTAATTTAGGTTCTACTAATGTGGAACGTAGAACAAATTGTGTCCATGCGTCAGCTTGTTCATCTGTAAAATAGAGCTGATTATGCCCACTCTTCCCTGCCTTTAGATTTAAGTTACCTCCTTAGGTCAATGTAAGTAAATCCGCCTGATGTTTGGCTGTGCACAAGATAAAATGACAATCCCTCTTTTCTCTGTAGAAGATTATAAAAAGTGGAAGAGGCCTGGACTAAGATGTCCATATACTTTCTGGGACAGAGACCCTGCTCAGATCTAAAGATCTAAGGAACTTAAAAGGTAGGCCCAGGGCCCTCCCTTTCCATTCCCACATGTCTGTCCTCTTTACACAGTGGCTATGGGACATCGTCCACAAAGGAGCAGTTGTAGTAACCCACATCGCCCTCCACTCTTGATTGTTCATCAATAGGAGAAAAGAAGCCCTATATAGATTCTATCCTTGGATAGTTGCAGTTGGAAGGTTTAAAATATGCAAAGGCAACTAGAAACACCAAGGGCCTGTATACAAAGCAAACGTTTGCAAAACCCTGAACAAAATCTACGGCCTATGTGCACATGGTAAGTATTTCTGATGTTTGTGTGTTTGCCTGCTTGTGTGTGATTTTTCCTTTGCACGTCTGGATAGGTGAGAAGTGTGTGGTTAGAGGCAATTCCAGACAGGAAGAAAGGCTGAGAAGAGTGTAGAAATGATCTCTGGTTCCTAGGGCCAAGGGTTCCCAGAGCATATGGCACTGTGCCACCAGGCCCTATCTAACCCTATGGAAAAATCTTAAAGGTTTCAGCAAGCTTGACCATGGCTCGCTCTTCAGTTTCTAGGAAACTCTCCCGTCTGCCTGTCCTCATCGGTCCTGAAAAGAATCCCAGGCAGCCTTTGGGAGCAAGTACTCCTAATACCCCCTTTCTTCCTTCCCCCGCCCCCCAACACACACCATCCATTTTTTAGATTGGCTTCGGAACCAAATTTGGTGAGTGCCGTCCTCCGGGAGATCCGGTAGCCCTGTCTTCAAAATAAAGCTCCAGGTTAAAGCTTCAGCTGTGGTGCCTAAACAATAGTTTAGGAAAGCAACAGGAGATAGATATTCAGGGAGCAGGGGTCCTCCAGGGCTAGAGCGAGCCTTCTCTTGCCCTCACCCACGCTGCGCCAGCAGTTGTTTCTCCAAAGCCACCAGGCATTAGCGCAGCGGTGAGGGGAGGAGAGAAAAGGAAAGGGAGGGGAGGGAGAAAGGAGGTGGGAAGGCAAGGAGGCCGGCCCGGCGGGGGCGGGACCCGACTTGCAAACTGTTGCATTTGCTCTCCACCTCCCGGCGCCCCCTTGGAGATCCCGGGGAGCCAGCTTGCTGGGAGAGCGGGAGGGTCCGGAGCAAGCCTGGAGGCTGAGGAGGCGACAGAGGGAAAACGACCGAGCTAGCGGCTCCAGTGCGGTGCAGGAGCAGAAGGGACGCACCACGCCAGCCCCAGCCCGGCTCCGGCGACAGCCAACGCCTCTTGCAGCGCGGCCGCTTCGAAGCCACCGCCCCGGAGCTGCCCTTCCCTCTTCGGTGAAGTTTTTAAAAGCTGCTAGAGACTCAGAGGAAGCGAGGAAAGTGCCGGGTAGGACTGACGGCTGCCTTTGTCCTCCTCCCCACCACCCTGCTTCCCCCATTCCCCCCCAGCCCCTCGTCTTCTCTCCGGCAGCTGCCTCTGCCCGCTACTCTCCGCCAGCACCCCCACAACCCTCTCCCCCCACCCCACGTCGGCCCAGCGCTGCCAGCTGGAGTTTTTAGAGAGGTAACTCCTTTTGGCTGTGAGCAGGCGAGCTAGCTGCACGTTGCAAAGAAGGCTCCTGGGAGCCGAGCGACTGGGGAGCGGCTTCAGCACTGCAGCCACGACTTAGCTGGTTAGGCTGCACGCACGCGGGGTCGGCCCCCTGGGTCCCCCTACTCCCTCTCCACCTCCTTCTGCCTTCCCCGACCCCTAGTGTGGAGCCAGAGATCAAAAGATGAAAAGGCAGTGAGGGCTTCAGTAGCCAAAACCAAAACAAACCAAAAACAAGCAACCCCCCCCCCCAAAAAAAAAAAAAAAAAACTCAGTTGTTATTTGCACCTGTTTCAGTAGACACTGAATTTCGGGGGCAGAGGATTTTGCTTTTTCTTTCAAGATATGAGTATCTTTTGATTCTACCCTTCAAGTATTCAGAAACAGACTGTGAGCCTAGCACGGCAGATCCTGTCCACCGTGTGTCTTCCTCTGCACGAGACTTTGAGGCTGTCAGAGCGCTTTTTGCGTGGTTGTTCCTGCAAGTTTCCTTCCCTGGAGCTTCCCGCAGGTGGGCAGCTAGCTGCGCCGACTACCGCATCATCACTGCCTGTTGAACTCTTCTGAGCAAGAGAAGCGGAGGCAGGTTACCGGAATTAGGTGGAAGATTCAGCCAGGCTCAAGGATGGAGGTGCAGTTAGGGCTGGGGAGGGTCTACCCCCGGCCACCGTCCAAGACCTATAGAGGAGCTTTCCAGAATCTGTTCCAAAGCGTGCGCGAAGTGATCCAGAACCCGGGCTCCAGGCACCCTGAGGCCGCGAGCGCGGCACCTCCTGGCGCTCGTTTGCAGCAGCAGCAGCAGGAAACCAGCCCCTCGCAGCAGCAGCAGCAGCAGCAGCAGCAGGTTGACGATGGCTCTCCCCAAGCCCAGAGCAGAGGCCCCACAGGCTACCTGGCCCTGGATGAAGAACAGCAGCCTTCACAACAGCAGTCAGCCCCGGAGTGCCACCCTGAGAGCGGCTGCGTCCCAGAGCCCGGAGCCGCGGCGGTGGCCAGCAAGGGGCTGCCGCAGCAGCCGCCAGCACCTCCGGACGAGGATGACTCAGCTGCCCCATCCACGTTGTCCCTGCTGGGCCCCACTTTCCCGGGCTTAAGCAGCTGCTCAGCCGACCTTAAAGATATCCTGAGCGAGGCCGGCACCATGCAACTACTTCAGCAACAGCAGCAGGAGGCAGTATCCGAAGGCAGCAGCAGCGGAAGAGCGAGGGAGGCCGCTGGGGCTGCCACCTCCTCCAAGGACAGTTACCTAGGGGGCACTTCGACCATATCTGACAGCGCCAAGGAGTTGTGTAAGGCAGTGTCAGTGTCCATGGGCTTGGGTGTGGAGGCGTTGGAGCATCTGAGTCCTGGAGAACAGCTTCGGGGGGATTGCATGTACGCCCCGCTCTTGGGAGGTCCACTCGCTGTGCGTCCCATTCCCTGTGCCCCACTGGCTGAATGCAAAGGTTCTTTGCTGGATGACGGTGCAGACAAGGGCACTGAAGAGCCTGCTGAGTATACCCCTTTCAAGGGAAGTTACACCAAAGGACTAGAAGGCGAGAGCCTGGGCTGCTCTGGCAGCAGCGAAGCAGGGAGCTCCGGGACACTTGAGCTGCCCTCCACTCTGTCTCTCTACAAGTCCGGAGCACTGGAGGAGGCCGCATCGTACCAGAGTCGTGACTACTACAACTTTCCGCTGGCCCTGGCCGGGCCGCCGCCCCCTCCGCTTCCTCCCCATCCCCACGCTCGTATCAAGCTGGAGAATCCGCTGGACTACAGCAGCTCCTGGGCAGCCGCTGCAGCGCAGTGCCGCTTTGGGGACCTGGCGAGCCTACATGGCGGGGGAGCAACGGGACCTGGCTCCGGCTCGCCCTCAGCTGCAGCCGCCTCTTCCTGGCACACTCTCTTCACCGCCGAAGAAGGCCAGTTGTATGGGCCGTGTGGTGGGGCTGGCGGCGGCGCAGGCGAGTCTGGGGCCGTAAACCCCTATGGCTACTCTCGGCCACCTCAGGGGCTGGCGGGCCAGGAAGGCGACTTCCCTGCACCCGATGTGTGGTATCCCGGCGGCGTGGTGAGCAGAGTGCCCTATCCCAGCCCCAGCTGTGTCAAAAGTGAGATGGGCCCCTGGATGGAGAGCTACTCTGGACCTTACGGGGACATGCGGTAAGTTTTTCCTTCCAGAAATGTCACCTTTGGCCCAGGGCGTAGAGCAACTCTTCCCAGAGTGAACCCTCAGATACCCTTGGGATAGCTCAGCAGGGTTCCATAGGAGGGGCTACTCTAAATCTGAAAATCTCCCTGGGACTTCTGGCCTACCAAAGATTCAACTTGAGCGCCCCGAATCTCTGCTGCACGCCCTGGGTGCCGATCTGTGCCCCTACAGATTCCTCAGTAACTTCCCCAGCCGCTCCAAATCCTCACTACGTCCTGGGACTCCAGGTCCCACAGGTTGCAAACTTTAATCCGATTGCATGGGCCACCTTGAGAAATAACCCCCTTAAGCCCTTTTCCTCCCTTCCTCAACGTTGGAGAACCTGGATCAGAAATTTGGTCAGTTACTCCACTTCCAATCTGTTAGAATTTGCCTGCCAGCCTGTGTCGGGTTTTGGCAGATTAAAGATAAAAAAAAAAAAAAAAATCTGGCCCAAGCCCTTCTCAGCCTCCTCCTTCAAAGACATAGAATGGAATTCCTCCCGGTTAGGGAAAGAAAGTGGTCTCTGGGTCCTGAGAGTCCCTGTGTGAACGGGTGAATTTCCTTCCCTGAAAGCAACTGGGGACTTGCTCCAGAGTTGGAGGTTGGCAGAGAGAACCCAACCCAGGCACCTTTAGAGTAGGCAGAAGGGTAACTTTCTTGGTAAAGACTGGACAGGATTTGCCCTCACAGGTTTCTCAGCGTCGACTATGTTAAAAGTAGTTGTTTGGGTCCGTTTTCTCTTGTAAAGTGTTTATTTTCTCTGTGAGTTATAACAGATCCACAGCCCCTTGTTTCAGGTTTACATCAGATCTATAAAGGGAAGAATGTTCTTTTAATGAACAATTTAATCAGGCTTGAGTCTGACTTACAAAAGAGTTGGAAAAAAATTTTTTTGTCAAGCATTTCCTACTATTCCAGTGTGCTCTGAAATCTGCCCTGGGGAGGGAGGACTGGTGTTCTTCATTATTTTTCTTCATTTTAAGGACATGTTTGCATTTTAAAACATGCGCTGTTAGCTCTAACAAATTGCTAGTGACCTATGAGCCATAATCTTACCCCAGATTTTTAATTAAGACATGAAAAAAAGGCTAGACAATTTCATCTTATTAAAAATTCGTCCTCACTACAATTGTTGAGCTTCTTGGAGACCATATTGAAGATTTTTTCCCACAGCAAATTAAGATACTGGCTTATCTGGTAAAGGTGGATGACTTGATTTGGGGAATTAATTTCACAGGTCAGTTGGGACCTGTTGTTCCTGTGGACTTGTGTTTTATTCTGTGTTTCTGTAGCTATTTTCTTTTATATGTGACTTTTCCAAAATTTCTTTGTTAGCCGTAACATCTTTGCTTGGTGACTTAAACTCAACAGTTTGCCTTCTTTCGCTGATGTTTTCATTCATGGAAGGTTGATAGCATAATATCAGTAAAGAAAGAAAGAGGAAGATAGGATTTCATGAAATATCATTTTTCTGGGCTGTTGAAGAAACAGCTTTTTACTAAGCTTTACATTATATTAGGTTTTTAATGTTTAGCTTGCAGGATTTTCAAAGGGTTCATTTGATATCGTCAAAGTGTTTTCCACTTAATTTAGAGTGTTTATTTTTGTCATGGCCTTATATCATAGGATAAAATGTCTTCATTTTATGAGAACAGATTTACTTGGTAGGGTTAACTTTTTTGTAGGGCTGTCACTAAACAGTGAAGCCCTTCTTTTGTAAACTTTTCTGGTGGTGGGGATGTCTAAGGCGCTTTTTGACCTACCATGATGCCAAACCCAGTCCCAGTCACTGGAACTTTCCATCTTCGGCATGCACCCCCCCCCACTTACTCACTTAACAGGGAGGAAACTAATGGTTCTACATATTTGTTAAGGGATATTTCTTTGAATATAAAACTAAAATTCTCAGGGAGTGGCTGTAGAGAACAAAAGGTTTTTCTCATCAGGTAGGCAGCAAGCTTGGTGATTTTATCCTGGGTCTTAATGGAAAAAAAGAAAAAACTTCTCTAGTAGGCAGACTATCATACTTTGATGCCTCCTTGACACTCTGCTTAAATTAATGACATCAACTAGTGAGAATTAAGAGTACCTTCAAAAAGTCCAAGATTATTTAATCTTCCCTGGTTTATGATTGCTGTACTGGTTATGAGTCTAGTGAAAGAGAAAACAAGTGTTCCTGTCTCTTGGGTTGACAAAGACTTTCCCTTTCTAGGATATATAGAATCCCTGAGTCAATTTATTGACAATGAATCAATTTCATCAGACTGCAACCAATCCCAATCTAAAAGTTGATATATTTTTTTACTTTCTCTTTCTTTCCCTTACTCTGTAGGGGCACAATTTGGTGAAAGGCAAGGGATTTTTAAAGCCAGAGCTTCTCTCTGTATTGCATGCGTTAAGTGCCAACTTAGAATTAAAAATCTCAAAATTCTAGAGGCTGCCAATAACCTGTTTGGTTCCTCCCTTTTCTAATTGTGTTTGTGTTTATGTACATTAGTTAGTTGTGTGGAGGGAATTTCTTTAACTTTAGTAATGTCTGCATTAACTCTATGTTCTTATACATTTACGATGTTTCTGCCGAGAAAAGGAGAGAGGCCAAAAAAGGTGGTCATTTTTTATTTTTCTTAATTTGGTATGTGATTTGAACAGAAGGAAAAATAAAAAGTGATTTTGGGGCTTGTGTGAAACCTTGATGATATTTTATGGAGCTATCTTCTCTTCAATATCAAACAAGACAGCTTTGTTAATTAACCACTGGCCCACTTGACAGAAATAAGGCCCCTTATTTTCCAGCAGGCAGCGCAATAAAATGGCAAACATTTATACTTGGGAATTGGGTCCTGGCAAGGCACACAGGAATTATCGATAGGGTTTAGGGAAATTATCTATATGCAAAAACAACATTTTAATTTTTCATCTTGGTAGTTTGTTCTGGTCTCCATAATAGGTAGTATTTTAGTAGTGCTTTGGTATTTCCACGTCCTCTTTCTCTGTTCGTTTTTTCAAAAGCAGTCATTTTACTAATTCCTCTTGCCATCTCCTCCTCAGTTATCAGACAGCTTCTATGACTATCTTACAAGAAGCAGTTTGTCTTATAAAGCAGAATTTTGCTTTGGGACCAAGACAGACTGATTCTTTCTGTCCATAGGCTTTGAGAGTTGGTATACTGGGCAGAAACATCCTTTCTCTGTGGTCAGCAAATAGCTGGTGAGGTCTGTCTGGATCCCAATAATCAGAACCTGAGGACAAAATAGCCACCCTGAATGGCACCCCATTTGGAAATATCTGCAGGATGTAGTCTTCTCCCTTGTCTACAGCTCAGCTCTGCCAAAGGTTAACATCGGTGAGAGAAGATTTTCGTAGAAGTTTGCAACCTTCCAGTGCAGAGTCACTTTGAGGTGCTTTCTTGCCACTGTTAATATTACATCATCAGACTTTCATTCTTTGAGCTGTAAACTTTGAAATAATATTTTGGATTTGCTGGCACATTTAATTTTCTTTGTTAAGTGTTTTTCCTCTCCGTAGTAATTTTCTCATCTGGTATACACATATAACATTTAAAACAAATAATTCCTTGGTCTCTTGATTCATACATGTACTGTGGTTGCTCTTGGTGGGATTATGTGAGTTGGAGTTAGGAACACGGACAATTTTATTATTTTTTAATGGTGATATCAAGACCACCAGTTTTATTTAGAAACCCTCACAAACAAGGAACAGAGTGTGGGCTGGGTACAGCAAAGCAAGGCCCTTATTCTATAGCCAAACCTGAAATCATGATTCTGAAAAATAAAAAGCAAACAGAAAAATCAAGTTTTGTGAGGTTGGTTGGAGAGGGAAAAGGAAATCTCTCCCCACCCCGAACCTCCACCATTTTCTCTTTGTCTGCAGCTTCCTCAAGTGCTGCCTGTCCCTGATTTTCTTTTATTCCACTCCTTTCATGCTTTTGACATTGAAATATAGACTCTTCTTTCCACTTCTCAGGATATTTTTCTCATTACACCTGTGGCATGCTCTTAAAGAATTTCTTTTAAAAAAATATCTAGAGAATAACAGATCAACGCCAGCGCCTCTCTCTTAAAACTGGATGACATGAGGGGATTGCAAAATGAATAGCCAAGCTTTTTAACCTTGAGATTAGAGCCTGATTCAACAGTTGCTGAGGGAGCTAAACAAGGTGGCTTGAGGTCTTAGCAATTTAATGAAGTATTTTTCCGGCTGCTGTCTCTGTCTCTCTCTTTATTTCTGCCTCTTTCCATCTACTAGCCATGTTAGCAACCTTCTCTCAGAACCTGAGAATAACTGGACCCTCTCCCTTCCCAAACACCTCTGTCTGAGTGAGAGCTCAGCAGTGCTATCACAATCAGTAACTAATCTGCATATGAGGGTGCTCACTGGAAGTGTCCAGCTCAGCTAATCTGCTCAGGCTTACGTGAAAATTAATCATTTGAAAACAAAGAAAGATATTGAAGAGAGTATTCTACCTCAGACTTCCCCTGACAGCATTTTACCAAGTTCTGGAATGTTAAATTCAGAGTAAGTTATCCTCGTTTTAAACACAGAGTTGACTTTTTTATAATTTGCTTGTGAAGTTCTGTACAGTTACCAGCATTAGTTACCCTTCATCATGTGGAAGAGAATTATGAAATATCATATTTATGTAGAACTTTTTTCACAAAAGAAAACACCCAGCCTTTTCAGTTTATTCACTTCACTTTTGTAAGTTTGAGTAGACCAGGAGGGTGTTTAGTGATCACCCCTTTGCTAGTTGAGAGAGGGGAAATAGTTGCATTTTATATTTTGTTTACCATGTGGGGAAACCTCTCTAGATCAGTACTTCCCAGCTTTTTCTTTTTGAAGCTTCTCATCTGGCAGATAATGCGTTAGATTGTTGCTCCGTAAGGGCTACTCTCAGTGGCTGCTACATAGAGATGATAGTCCACAAATTATTACTTTCACACTCATGAAA